TATTTTTTTTTTTTTTTTTGTCCGATAATCATCTCATAAAGTTGCAATCTTGATCCTCGCTAGGGTTTTAAAAAAAATTGGGTGGATGTTTTAGCAAGAACAAGTTCTTGACCCCTTTTCCTATCGGAAAATCAAGCTCACCAAACCCATTACAACCCTTATCCCCAACCCCAGCCGCGGCCGGAAAAACCACACCACCGCCAACCGCCGCAAATTCATGGCCTTCGACCTCCACGTGAACCTCGTCCTTGGTGATTGCGAGGTGTTCCGCAAGCTTCCGCCCGTCCGCAATGGGCCAGCGCCGTCCATGATGCAGCCTAGTTCTCGTGGCCTCCATGGATAGCGGTGCCGCCAATGGCTTACCCTCATCAGCCGCCGCAGGTCGTCAGGCTGCCGGTGGTGGCTCCTCCACCGGGAAGATTCCCGCCTATGCTTCATCCGCCCCAGTTCAGGCCTGGAATTCCGCTGCAGCTATCGGGTGGATTTGCTCTTCTGCCTCTGTTTGGACAGAGGCCGCAAATCTAGCAGTGGTTTGGATGACTCAATGGCGGGATTGAATCTCAGGGAGAATAGGGTCGAGCGATTTGGTATGGTCCGCCTCAGTCCACGCGAGCCGACGTTCGCCATCACCGAGAGCCGCCCCGTACGTCGTCGGAATTCACTACAGAAGGGCCGTTACGGGGAACCTCAGTCCATTCGCAGCAATCCGTTCGTCGAGGAGTTCGTCAATCGTCCATTCGTCGAGTTTTGGTTTCGATTTCTGTCATTTGTTCTTTCCTCCCGTTCGATTTTTCAACCGAACACGTAGATTCCGTGGAGTACGGTATATTGGCTAATCCCCTCCTTGTTATATCTTGTTCATGCTCGTGTTGTATTTCGTTGATATTATTGTGCTCGTTGAATCAATTTCCATCGTTTGTTTATGAATTGGATCGTACAATCATTTCGTTCATCGTGTTGTTATTTATGGAATTGACGTGGATATTCAAAACTCTCGATTTCAAAAATCGAACCTCTAATCGTTGTGGTTAAACTGTTTAGTTTGAAGCTGGACCTACACGCTTGAGTATCGGCTGTTTGAGGATTTCATTTTGTTTGCATATATTCATATCCATTTGTTTGTTCTCTTTTGATGCTGGTGTCTGATTGGAGTTTAATTGCTTCCTGTTGATCATCAGAATTGCAAGAATGATGCAAGAAAAAGGAATATGTTCAAATTTAAGCAATTACGCCTTTTACTGATGATTCTAGAACAAGTGAGATCCATATCTAATTGGGTTTTATATATATCCTTGTATCCTAACATGGCAGAGCATACAATTAAATGCTTTAGGATGCTTTGATGTTATCCAATCTAGCCCGTTTTCTGAAGGCCGGTAAGTATGCCGAGCTTGTCGGCGCTCGAGCGCCGGTGTATCTCGCTGCTGTTCTGGAGTACCTGGCTACGGAAGTTCTTGAGCAGACTGGAAATGCAGCAAGGGAAAATAAGAAGACAAGGATCGTGCCTCGGCACATCCAGTTGGTTGTGAGGAACGACGAGGAGCTGAGCAAGCTTCTTGGTGATGTCACGATTGCCAATGGTGGAGTCATGCCCAACATTCACAACCTTTTGCTCCCGAAAAAGATTTGGATCCTCAAAGCCCTCGGCTGATTAGGATTAGATTGGTATTCAAGTGATAAGTGGATCATGAATATGATATTGATAGAAGGTTTAGATCTTGTTCTTCTGTTTCCTTATATGTTAGTTTCGATTGATTGTTTTCTTTTCATTTTGATGGTTTTAGAGGTTTGTAGGTGTTATGTTAGTTTTGATTAATTGTTTTCTTTTCATGTTTATATGACCTATAATCACTCTCACATTAGTTTATATGAGATTTAAATGTTTTTAATCGAGTTTATTCGCAAATTGGTTATGAACTCGATACACTAATGAGAAAACACTACTAATACACTTCATTTCATTGAATTACACACTTCATCTCATAGAATCATCATACGTGACTACTCATATTCTACCTATATGTTTTAATTTCCACTATTTTTCATCCAAATCACGTGTGAATGATCCACGTGTCATGATAGACATGAAGGATTAGAGAAATCATAATTCTTAAAATAGTACATGTTTTAGCCATAATAGTACCTCATCTTCTTCTACATGGTACCTGTTTTTTATCAATTAGTACTAACTTTTGGTCAACGAAAATGAATTATTCAATTGTGGTCAACATTTGCAATAATTGGTACCAAAACTAGAGTAAGATAGTATCAGCTTTCGGTGTTTTAGTACCAGATATCGGGTCCTTAGTACCAACTCCTATGAACAAAAAAAAACACTGAATTTCAGTGTCAAATGATGTTTACATGACAAATAATCACTCTCACACTACTTTGTATTAGATTTATAACAGGTTTAATTAAGTTTAATCCAAAATTGGTCACGATCTCAACACACTAATGAAAAAACACTACCAACATTTCTTCTCATTAAAATGGTACAAGTTTTGGAAAAAATAGTACCGCTTCTTCTTCTACGTAGTACCTGTTTTTGATCAATTAGTACCAACTTTTGCTCACTGAAAATGAATTATTCAATTGTGGTTAACATTTGCAATAATTGGTACCAGACCTAGAGTAAGATAATACTAGCTTTCGTTGTTTTAGTACCAGATATCAGGTCTTTAGTACCAACTCCGACGAACATGACAAAACACCGAATTTAGGACTCAAATATTGTTTGTATGACCAATAATCACTTTCACATAAGTTTATATGAGATTTAAAATCTTTAAAATTGAGTTTAATCATAAAATGGTTATTAGCTAAACACACTAATGAGAAAACACTACTAATACACTTCATTTCATTTAATGATACACTTCATCTCATAGAATCATCAAACATGACTACTCCAAATTCTACCTATATATTTTTACCTTCCACTATTTTCCATCTAAATCAGACGTGAATGATCCTCGTGTCATGGTAGATATGAAGGATTAGAGAAATCGCGATTATTAAAATAATACCTATTTTAGCCAAAATAGTACCACATATTCTTCTATGTGGTACCTGTTTTTGATCAATTAGTACCAACTTTTGGTCAAAGAAAATGGATTATTCAATTGTGGTCAACATTTGCAATAATTGGTACCAAACCTAAAGTAAGATAGTACCAGCTTTCTGTGTTTTTGTACCAGATATCAGGTCTTTAATATCAACTCCGACGAACATAAAAAGAACACCGAATTTCAGTCTCAAATGATATTTATATGACCAATAATCACTCTCACATTAGTTTGTATGATATTTAAAATGTTTTAAATTGAGTTGAATCGTAAAATAGTCATGAACTCAACATACTAATGAGAAAACACTACTAATACACTTCATTTCATTGAATGACACACCTCATCTTATAGAATCATCATACATGACTACTCCAAATTCTACATATATGTTTGAACTTTCACTATTTTTTCAATCAAATCAGGCGTGAACGATCCACATGGCATGATAGATATAGAGGATTAAAGAAATCATGATTACTAAAACGGTACCCATTTTTGATAGAAATAGTACCGCTTCTTCTTCTGCGTAGTACCTATTTTTAATCAATTAGTACCTACTTTTGGTCAACGAAAATTGATTACTTCAATTTTGGTCAACATTTGCAAAAATTAGTACCCGCCCTAGAGTTAGATAGTACTAGCTTTTGGTGTTTTAGTACCAGATATCGGGTCTTTAGTACCAACTCCAATGAACATAAAAAAACACCGAATTTTGGTCTCAAATGATGTTTATATGACCCATTATGACTCTCACATTAGTTTATATGAGATTTATAATGTTTTTAATTAAGTTTAATCGTAAAATAGTCATGAACTCGACACACTGATGAGAAAACACTACTAATACACTTGATTTCATTGAATGACACACTTCATCTAATAGAATAATCATACATGACTACTACAAATTCTACCTATATATTTTAACTTCGACTATTTTTTATCCAAATCACGCGTGAACGATCCACGTGTCTTGGTAGACATGAAGGATTAGAAATCCCGATTCTTAAAATTGTACATGCTTAAGCCAAAATAGTGCCACATCTTTTCAACGCGGTACCTCTTTTTTATCGATTAGTAGCTATTTTTGTGAACGAAAATAAATTATTTCAATTTTGGTCAACATTTACAAAAAGTAGTATCAAAACATAGAGTAAGATGGTACAAATTTTATATTGATATAGTACCTGATATTGGGTCTTTAGTACCACTTGTAATGAACACATAAAAACACTGGTTTTACCTATAATAGCACCAGTTTGCTTCTTTGTAGTACCTAATACAGTACCGGTTTTACCTATAATAGTGCCACATTTGTTTCTTTGAAGTACCGGTTTTAATTCAATTAGTACCTACTTTCGTTGACTCAACTAAAATGGATTATGTAGCGCCACGATGTTATTCATCTATGAGATTGCTCGACTTTAGTCCCAAGAAATAGCAAGTAAATTATTCTAAGTCTCAAGAATTCAATCCAAGTACTTAAATTTAATATTTTAAGCACCAAGTTAAATTGGTGAAATTCCAATTACAAAATGTTAATTCAAAAATTAATCCTAAGTATAATTTTTTAATTAAATTGGTAAATATGCCAATTAATATAATTTATTAAGTCAAGAAATACAATTTAATTTTTATAAGTCAATGAGGTTAAGTAGGACTTTATAAATCTCGAGCCAAAGGTACAAGAATTAAATTTGCGCATAAATAAATGTGATCGCCTAGCGGTAGGATGGTAGAGGAGGTGTCCTTGAGAGTGTGGACTGCCCAGACTCGGGTGAGTCCTTCTCTGCACGATCCTTCCACCATTTTTTTTGCACTTATAGTAATTAAAACTAGTTACTATTCGTTTAAAAACAGGTACACGTAGAACAAGATGCGGTACTATGTTGGATAAAACATGTACTAATTAAATTTTAGTATGAGTGCAAAAAAAAAAAAATTGGTGGAAGGAGCGCAAAGGGGGACTCAAACCCGGGTCCAGACTCTCAAGACCGCCTTCTCTACCATCCTGCCGCTAGACAATCACGTTTATTGATGTGCATATTTAATTGTTATGCATCAAAATGCACAAATGTGCGAATACAGCAGCCAACGGCTGAATACACAGCAGCCAACCGCTGAAAAAGTGGGAGGACAGGTCAGAAGCCCGCCTAGAGACCCGCTAGCAACGCTAGAATAAAAACTCGCACTAAACAGACCAACTACAAAACACAACAAACAATACAAAGACCCCAACAGGGTAATACCGAGTGTCGGACCCCAACAGGGTAATAAAGGTGACACTCGGACGCACAGAGGCCAAATGGCCCAAACCTAAAAGACAAGAACAACACAGACACAAATACGACGAAACACAAAACAACATATAAAACTAAAAAACTAACAGCCCTTCCCTGACGAACGAGCTAGCACAAACCAGCAGTGAACGATCGACACAAGACAAATCCGGCCAGGAGTCTGCTACCGAAACTGCAATCAAGCCTATACAGTAGTAGAAATCTAACCCGAACCAATCCCCGAATCGACCCATCCATGACTGAGAGAGCCGTGGTCCATCCCACACCTAATCCATCCGCACTCTTCTAACACCACTAGACGAGTCCGAAAGGACCTCCCACGCCTCCTAACACCACTAGTCGACGAAGAACAGAGCAAGAGAGAAACAACCCTCCCCCCGACCGCCACGACAAGGAGTGCCGCAGTAATCAGGGACCCACCCCACCCAGCGACACATACGCCACCCAGAACCGCCTCAAACAGCCCACGACAAAAGGCGCGGCCTCGCCAGAAGAGGAGAAGCGCCGCCAGAAACGACCAAGTCCGGCAATCACAAACAGAGGGAAGAAAAACGGGACTTACCATCAGAGTCGTAGCTCCTCCAGTTATTGGAACTAGGTTCCGATCTCCGGCCTTGCAACGAAATCGATGAAGCGCCACCACCGTCGTCGACTCCATCTGTAACCACGGACCTGACGCCTCGTCGCCAAACTATCTGAAGGTGAGAGGAGGGCACATGTCGCCAGGGGGGAGAGGACAGTTTAGGATGACCGTAGGCCGAGCTTAACCGACCCTGAGGGAGGAAGATTCGCCGGAATTTCGTGAGCTGAGGAGGTAGGGTTTTGGTCGCGAGAGGAATTGGGGGAAAAATTTTAGTAAGTATAAAGTCCTACTTAACCTCCTTGGTTTTTAAAAATTATATTGTACTTCTTGACTTAATAAATTATATTAATTGGCATATTTACCAATTTAATTAAAAACTTAGACTTCGAATTAATTTTTGAATTAACCTTTTGTGTTTGAAATTTCACCAATTTAATTTGGTGCTTAAAATATTAAATTTAAGTACTTGGATTGAATTATTTAGACTCAGAATAATTTACTTGCTATTTCTTGAGACTAAAGTCGAGCAATCTAATAGATGAATAAAATCGTGGGGCTACATAATCTATTTTTGTCGAGTCAACGAAAGTATGTACTTATTGAATTAATTAACACGCTTTTGAAATTCATCGATTCTACCACTGAATATCTGCCCCTCTCATTTGATGCAAAATATGCAAGAATCGATTGATTTATCTTGCACTAACAACTCCGATTCTCCTTCCGCGAAATCAACATACGGTACGATTTCCCTGCGTTCATGATAAAATAATACAAAGATTTAGGAATAATGGAACTATTTAAAAAATTAATGAACTAGGATATGATAAATTCACCATATTTCAATAAGTTCATTAATATTATGAAAGTTACATTACCCGCTTATGCTCATCGGGATGGATTGAACTCCATCACCCGGTCTTTCATTTCTTCTAATGGTCGGGCTTTTATTTCTTTCAATGACAAGTATGTCTACAATATTTACTTTCCAGCAAACATGTAACTGAATCATGTTTTCGCATCCTCATCATCGGACAAACTAACTCTCTTTTTT